TAATTTACTTAAAATCTTATTGTTTTAATAAAAGTATATTCATTATGTAAAGTTAATATTACGTTATTACTAAAACAGTTGCTGTAATTACCAAATATTTTGGTACAGACATCATCTAGTATCCAAGATTTAGGAATATTAAATCTTTCTATGTCCCTTCCTCCAATTCTTAACAATAATTTTGGAAATTCTTCGACACTAGAACGAATATTATTTGTGATCTCAAAATTTTGAAGCAGTTCCATAAAAATGATGATTTAATAGTTTCTCCTATTATCATAGTTCTATTACCTTTTTCATAACTAGAAAGATTTGTCCAAAATCTCCTCCTAATACTATTAAATCATCACCAAAGCAAAGTTTAGTAATACGCAAGTCTCTCAACGTATTATAAGCGATTTCGAGAGACTTTTTCGGAATCATACAAGCCTCGTCCTATATAATTAAATCAACTTCCCTTAATTTTTTTTTTTTAGTTTCAAGTTCTAAAAATACACTCTCACTATTATTTAAGTCTCCAGGTAAACGAAAAGTTCTATGACTGGTCATACGTTTTGGTAGTAATACAGATGCAATCTCTGTCCAAGCCATTAAAAAAATATATTTACGTCTAGACAGAAAGTAATAAATGAGTGTCTTATATTAGTTAATTTTTCCGGAATTTCCAGGACCATATATGATATATATTTTTTTTAAATGAACTTAATTTAAAAATAGGTACAGTAGTTATGTTAGTTCAAAATTTGGGTACATAAGACGGATTATGTAATGGTACATGATTGCGAATCACTAAATTGTTGAAATATAATGTAGAAGGCGAAATAGTTACGGAAGAAGAAATTGATAATTAAGTTTTTATTCCAAAAAAATACATTAAATACTGGAAATACTATATCGTTACCTTTTATTTTATATAAAAAATGTAGCATTTGCTATGACTATAAGCAAATCTCAAAGTCAAAGTTTCGAGCAAGTGGAATTATACTTGAAAAATCCTTTATTTTTTCATGGTCAATTGTACGTGGCTTTATCGAGGTGCAAAAATAAAAATGGAAATTTTATTTATATCGATAGAAAAACTATTCTAGATATTGGAAATATAGTTTGGAAAGAAATTTTGTATCTAATAATAACAACATGATTTAAATATTTTTATTTGTATAGGCAAAATATATTACTTACTAGTACATCTCATGAATGTGTATTGTGGTTATCTATTGTACCAATTTCAACATTAATTTAAAACAGAATAGGAATAGACCTAAGTCTTTGTGGTTTATCAGGACTTTATAAGTTGACTCATAAAATGAGTGATCTTAATGCAAAACTTCCACGGTTTGTGTTAACGATAAACTAAATACAATTTGAATTTATGTATGCATTGGTATTATTAACTTATATACTAAATAATATATTATTTATGTATCACAATACATACGCATACAAATTTTACACATCGTACGCATGAAGAAACACAATTGATATAATTTGGTTACTGGTTGTACTCAGTTGTGTAAATAGAATGGTTGTTTATTATTCGTATTTATAAAATTCATCTATTTGCTTTCTGGTTAGTGTGGAAAAATAAAAGAAAAAAAAAACATGTTTTTGTTACTTAACATTTTTCATAAATGACCATTTTAACAGTACAAAAATATATATGACATTCTTTTTATGAAATATTAAATTATATTTTCATTGAAAGACTTTGAGTGAAACATAAACGAATAGATAATCTCTAACTACCAAAATAAATGGTTTTACCTGTGTGTACTTAATTGTTGCTTTTAAAGACTTCTCGTCTGCCTATTTGGCTCATTTTAATTTATTTATTTATATGGTTAATTATTATTATTTATTTTTATTGTTGTTTTATATTTGTTTTATGTACAGTCTCTTTGTTGTTGGTGCATATGACACGAGTGTCAATTAGTAATTAACCTTAAAAGTGTATTAAATCATATGTAACGAGCCGAGCTATAAAGAGCGCTCTGCTCTTAGCTCTTTAATAATAAATTCAATTCAATTCAATTCTATATAAACT